GTCGAAATTTTTAAGTAATTTAATGATTTTTGCACCAAAACTTATTTTGTCTAAGATTTTTTTGTATTTTCATTAATTTTCTATACGATTTTATGCATGTATTGCTGCCATAAAGTTGTAAGCAATTATTGTGATTCGAAAACGTAGATTACAGAAAATAATAAATATTCTTAATTAGAAAAATAACAATGGTAACAATATTTATAAAAAATGTAGATTATTCAATCAAAGTGAAAATACACGAAAATAAAGTAATAAAAATCAGTCGACTCAGGAAAACTCGTCTCGTCTGCGTCGCAATGAATCATAGCGGTTCTAAAACGTTAAAGCAATTTTTATATGATCACGAAAACACCTGATCGTGATGAATCATCTGCACCTGCACACTGAACACCTGCACAATCGATAAGAAAGTAATAAAACTATTTGCATAAAGCGGAAATCTGCCAAATGAAATCGCCGAAATCTTTATAAAATTAGAAAAATCTTCGACAAAATAAGATTTGGTGCAAAAATCATAAAATTACTTAAAAATTTCGACTATACATATATGAAAATTTAATTTTAACTTTATCTGTACGAAGGAAAAAGAGCAATTTAAAATAAAAATCTAAATGATATAAGAAAATTTTGTGTTAATATTTGTAGATTAATAATTAGAATTTATTATTTTTTTAAATTTGTATACAATTTCAACGTTTTTTACTGTGATAAAACGTTTATAAATTGATAAGAAAGTAATAAAAATTAGGTGATTAATGAAAAATCTCCTTATATGGTTAAGAAAACGCGTTTCGTCTGTTTCGTAATGAATTACAGCGGTTCTAAAACGTAAAAGCAATTCTTATATGGTCTCAAAAACACCTGGTCGTGATGAATCATCTGCACCTGCACACTTAACACCTGCATATTCAATAAGAAAGTAATAAAACTATTCGCATAATAGCCGAAGTCTGCCGAATGAAATCGCCGAATTTGCGTCACGATAAGTAAGCAGCTGCAGCAAATAAATTCCGAAACGTTACAACAATTCTCGGACATTAATTTGGAAAGATTTTATTAATTATTATTTATTTTAAATCATAAATTTAATTTTATTTATTCAAATCATTCATTTAGTTAAAATTTCTTAAATGAAATTGATATGTTTTCGTTTTTTGAGCGTCGAAAATTATATATTTTTCTAAATAATTTAATCTACAATTCAATTAATTAGAGAATATACGCAATTAATACATTCTATTTATGCGCATTTCGATTGAATAATTTACATTTTTTAACAATTGTTACCTACAATAATCTATTGATTAATTTTTGTTGTTAGTAAAATACACGTTTTTATTCTATTCTTATTATTAATTAAAAACAACTAATTATAATTAAAAACATGCACTAATTTGATTTTAATTAAAACAAAAATACATTTAACACTTTTAATAATGAATTCAATATATTATGTTATCAATATATTATCAGTCAAATTTTTTGAAATTATATATATATATTTATTTTATTCTTTTTATTTCTGTATATGTAGTAAACATTAATATTATTATTATAAACTTCAATTTTTATTATTTTATTGAAAATTATAATTCAAATATTTCTATATTTGCAATTCAAAATTGAAAAAGATTTTCTACGATATATTTCTAAGATTTTCTAAGTTTCTATTAATTTTTAATTAAAATAATCGTAATTAAATGTAAATGTTTGCACGAAAAGAAAGTAGTAACAAATTGTCAAATTTTCAACATTCGAAAACGCGTTTTGTTTGCGTCGCAATGAATCATAGTGTTTCCAAAACGAAAACACCTGTTCGCGACGTCACAATGAATCATCTGCACTTGCACACTGAACACCTGCGTATTCGATAAGAAAGTAATAAAACTATTCGCATAATAGCCGAAATCTACTGAATGAAAACGTCGAATCTGCGTCACGATATGTTAGCTAATGCAGTAAAGGTTAAAACAATTCTTGCATATAAAAAAATTTATTGAAACAAATGACTATAAGTAAATTTATTTTTTTTTTAAAAAGTAATTAACTTTTAAATTATAAATTTAATTTTATATATTTAAATAATTTATTTCGATAAAATTTAGTTTTTTATTTATCTTTATAAAGTTCGATTAAATTGTTTTTCACCATTCTTTTTCTACTGACAAAAAATGTAATATAGAAGTTTATGTTAAAATTCATCAACTTCTAAACGAAATGCTCGTTATGCGAAGTGCTCGTTAAGCGAGGTTTTACTGTATAAGCAAATCATCTTGTATTAAAGTTTAATTCACATGAAAAAAATTAAATTAAATATTTATCCGATAAAAAATTCGATAATATTAAAAAAAAAATCCTTACATGGTTACGAAAAGGAGTTTCGTCTAGGTCGCAATGATTCACAGCGGTTCTAAAACGTTAAAGAAATTCTTATATGGTCACGAAAACACCTGGTCACAATGAATCATCTACACCTGCACACTTAACACCTGCGTTTTCGATAAGAAAGTAATAAAACTATTCGCATAATAGCCGAAATGTGCCGAACGAAATCGCCGAATTTGCGTCACGATAAGTTAGCAGCTGCAGCAAATCAATTCCGAAACGTTAAAACAATTCTCGGACATTAATTTAGAAAGATTTTATTAATTATTATTTATTTTAAATCATAAATTTAATTTTATATATTCAAATCATTCATTTCGTTAAAATTTCTAAAAGGAAATTGATATGTTTTCGGTTTTTCGAGCATCTAAAATTGTACCTTTTTCTAAATAATTTATTCTACTAATCGAATGAATGCACGCATTTAATACATTCCATTCCATAAAATTCATGTTTTTATTTCATTTTTATTAACACTGATTACAATTATAAACATGCACAAATTTAATTAAAATAAAAATACGTTTAACAAATTTAATAATGAATTCAATGTATTATGAACTTCAATTTTTATTATATTATTGAAATTTATAATAATATTTCTATATTTTTTCAATACAAAATTAAAAGAGATTTTCAACGATATTTTAACGCAAGTTTGTATTAATTTTTAATTAAAATTAACGTAATTAAATGTAAATGATTACACGAAAAGAAATTAATAAAAAATAGTCGAGTGATGAATAATCTCCTTATATGGTAATGAAAACGCGTTTTGTCACGCATTTAATTCATTCCATTTATGCGCATTTCGATTGAATAATTTGCATTTTTTAACAATTCTGACCTACAACAATTAACTCATTAAACTTTTGTTAGGAAAATACATGTTTTTATTCTAATTTTATTAACACTGATTATACAAATACAATTAACAAAATTAATAATGAATTCTATATATTATAAACTTCAATTTTTTTTTATATTATTGAAATTTATAATTAAAATATTTATATATTTTTCAATACAAAATGAAAAGATATTTTCAATGATATATTTAACGCAAGTTTATATTAATTTTTAATTAAAATAATCGTAATTAAATGTAAATGTTTACACGAAAATAAAGTAATGACAAATTGTCGAATGTTGAAAAATCTCTGAAAACGCGTTTTGTTTGAGTCGCAATGAATCACAGCGGTTCTAAAACGTTAAAGCAATTCTTATATGGTCACGAAAACACCTGTTCGCGATGATTCATCTGCACCTGCACACTTAACACCTGCGTATTCGATAAGAAAGTAATAAAACTATTCGCATAAAGCCGAAATCTGCCGAACGAAATCGCCAAATTTGCGTCACGATAAGTTAGCTGATACTTCGTATCTTCACTTCACGATGAATCGCGAATGTTAAGACAATTGTTATAAGTGCACAAAAAATAATGCGTTTTGTTTTAAATTTATTTAAAAAAAATGTTATAAAATATAATATTTTTTTGGAAATTACTAAGTTATGAATTTACATTTTTATATTTTTCGGGTCTGAATAGTTCGTTAACCGAGTTTCCACTGTCAATTATTAAACTTTTACTAAAAACTGCAAATCTTAATTAGAAATTTTCAAATTTGTACATTTTATAATTAAGTTAAAGTTAAGTTAAGTTAAAAATTGATTATTTTATGATTAAATTAAAAAATAATAGAAAACAATTAACTAATTTTAGATGATCGTTTTCATAGTTGACCCAAATATAATAATTAGAAAAGTTTCAAATTGTTTATCTTTAGTTTTCTTTTAATTAAATAGATTCATTATTGATTAAAAAATTATGTGCGATTTTTCAAAGTTTTATATAACTTGATTGATTCGTTATTGAATTTAGGTACAAATGTTTTAAAATAATATGAAAAAAAAAAACGTATGAAATAGTTTGTTTTTTTTTTTATAAAATTTGTTAATAAATTTGTAAATATTTTCCATAACATGTTTGATTTAAAGTTTCATTTACTTTATTGATAATTAATTTGGAATTATGTTGTTAATTACATTTGAAATCTCAATAGTTATGTGTCTTTTGTTAATGATTATCAGACAGCTAATCATCAAATTAGCGATTAATCTGCCACAGGTGACATGGAAACACGAAGGTTGAAAGGAAAACAATGTTTTTTTCCTTCTGTTATTCTGTATTTGCATAGTTCCAAGGTGCGGTCGTTCTTCTTAATTACGACAAACGCAATTATCCACGAGAAGCGAACGGGAAAATCGATTAGAGCTCTGATCTCGTTAGGCCGTTTAATTCGGATGTAGCAAAGAAACCTTTGAAAATAGGGGCTCAAGACAGCCGCACGTTCACATGATTACCCCCACAACTGACTGACATTTCGTGGGGAGCAACAAGTCCCAAAAAGCGGAGCGATCAACAGGTGAAGAACGACGTTGAAATCGAGTTGTTATTAGGTTTCTTTCATTTTTTTCCCCCCTCGTAATGATCACGAAAATAAACTATCCTATTATTACACAATGCATGGTTGGGACGCAAGGTCACTTGGATTTTATGGATATAAAGCGTACTCGAGCTATGGAAATCGTCAGAACTTCATTGCTAATCCAACATGAATAAGCTAGTACTCGTCTGTTTCGTGGTCGTCGCCGTAGCAGCTATGCTGCAGGAGTCCGAGGCTTTCGCCGTGGAGGTAACAATTCAACATTCATTCAATCATTATATATAATTCTTTTAATATTCTTTTTTTTTAAAGTCTAATTTACAGAAAGAGCCGAAAGTTGAGACAACCATTGATGGAAAGGTTGTGAAGAGGAGCGCCCAGAACGCGCCTGCAGATGCTGCCAGGGAGACAGCAAGAGTTGCCGCTGAGGCGGCCAAGGCGACAGCGAGACAAGCTGCTAAGGATGCAGATAACGTCGCTAAGCAAGCAGCAAAGAGTGCCCGAGAAACAGCAAGCAGAACATAGAAGAGCATTCAAGATACCTCCAATAATTAATCAGTTTACCTATTCCTATTAGTTTTAGATGAACCGAAGACGCAAATACAATGTCCATTAAATAACCAGTTGAATAAAAGCTTCAAGCTTCTTTCGCTTACAGCATAATTACAGTAAAATCAATGAAATTATTACTAACTTGGAAAAACAATTTTAACACTTACATCTTATTTGCTGACGCGTATGTTTATTAATATTTTTGTTTGTTGTTGCTTTTTTAAAGATGAACTTGCAGAGAAGGGGACACGGCAGTTTGATCGGTCAGCAGAAGGGGAGGGTCTACTGGAGATGCTACTTCAACGCCGTCACTTGTTTCTAGTCGATTGGATCGCAGCCACCCAAGATACGACTGAAGAGTTAATTGCCAAAACTAAAATTTATTTAAATAAAAAACACACACAAATAATCGAAAATGTTATATAATCACCGAAATCCTATTAGATCTTAGCACAATTTTTAGCCTAATTACGAAATGTACACATATATATTTTCGACGAATCAATGCAGTAAAACTTCCTACTTAACTTTACTTAGTCCATGTCTATTATTAAATATTTATCTTACATTGTATTTAAACGAAAAATAAATGAATTTAGAAATTATCACTCTGTGTTTTTACTTTGTCAAATATTTCAGATTTTTTTTTTCAAATTTTCTTACTTTCTTTTATTATGTCATAGTATATTTAATTTACAATCTTATTCCTGCAAACATTAATTAAATCTAATGACGGTAGAAATTTTGCTGTTTTCGTAAACTTCCCAATGGAAGATTTTACCTTTATATTCTTCTGTAATTTGTTGCTTGGCTGCCGTCTTGTAGGTTAGTATATTGATACTCTACGATTCCACTATTCCCTTTGTTTGTGTATCTGCTGCTGCCCTTAACACTGTCATTGTCTTTCATTTGACTCTCCATTCATGATGAACGATGGCCCTATTTCTGCAAGCGCCGAGAGGACTCACAAAGGGCCTGGCTTGACCAGGATTCGAACCTGCGCCCACGAAATCTTGAGTAGGGTGACTTTATCATTCGGGTATTAGTCGCTCTGAATATATATAAATAATTATATTGAATGAGAAACATTCATTAAGAAAGTGAATGAAAAACTTCTGTAAATCTTAAATAGACTGAAAAAAAAAATAGTTCTACAAATCAATTTATCATCAATCATCATCAATTTATTATAATATGCTATTTACTAAATATCGTTTCACTTGATTAAACGAACATTAATGTTACAATTTCCAGGTAAATTTCATATATTTTCTGCCAAATGGATGAAACCACATCAATGTATGAATACTCGCTACATTCCCAAAATATCCAACTTTCATATTCATCAATTTCTAAGAAAAAAAATATTTTAAAACACAATTATCAAAGCGTAGCTTAAATTATTATTGTTAGTTCATTTTATAAATAAGTTGCAAAACTTTAACAAGGTCGAAATGGACCAATCAAAAATTTGAAATTAACATTTGTTTTATATTATATTATTAAACAAATTAAGTTAATCACTTTTTCGATAATTATTCAAAGCACACTTAAAAACTTCTAATAAACAAATATTCATATTATAAATTAATATACCTTGACAAAAACCATTAATAAATAAATTAACTAATTAAAATATTCGTTAATTAATCAAAACAATTATTAGACACTCTTTTGAATTGATTCCGTTGAAAGCATCAAAAGCGTTTACGACGTTAATTTATTTAAATCTACCTTAAAATTATTAACGAGTCCTCAATCCATTTATCGTGTGTTAAATGGAGCGATTACAGAAATTGTTAATCTTCGCTATGATTATATTATACGCAAGACGATCAACAGGTAAAAATCGACGTTGAAATTGAGTTGTTATTAAGTTTATTTATTTTTCCCCGTATTGATCAGAAATATAAACTATACAATTATTACACAATGCATGGTTGGGATGCAAGGTCACTTGGATTTTAAGGATATAAAGCGTTCAATCATTATATATAAATTTCTTTTAATATTCTTTTTTAGTCTAATTTACAGAAAGAACCGAAAGTTGAGACAACCGTTGATGGCAAGGTTGTGAAGAGAAGCGCCCAGAACGCGGCCAAAGATGCTGCAGATGCTGCTAGGAAGACAGCAAGAGATGCAGCTGAAAAGGCCAAGGAGACAGCGAGACAAGCTGCTAAGGATGCAGAGAACGTCGCTAAGCAAGCAGCAAATAGTGCCAGAGAAACTGCAAGGAAGGCGAAGAAGAGCATTCAAGATACCTTCAATATTTAATCAGTTTACCTATTCCTATTAGCTTTAGATGCACCAAAGACGCAAATACAATGTCTATTAAATAACCAGTTGAATAAAAGCTTCAAGCTTCTTTCGCTTACAGCATAATTGCAGTAAAATCAATGAAATTATTACTAACTTGGAAAAACAATTCTAACATTTACATCTTATTTGTTGACGCGTATGTTTATTAATATTTTTGTTTGTTGTTGTTTTGAAGATGGACTTGCAGAGAACACGGCAGTTTGATCGGGTCTACAGGAGATTTACTTAACTTTACGTAGTCCATGTCTATTATTAAATATTTATCTTACATTGTATTTAACAAAAAATAAATGAATTTAGAAATTACCACTCTGTGTTTTACTTTGTCAAATATTTCAGAATTATTTAATTATAAAATTTTATCAGCAATCTGTTTTTATTTTCATTAAAAATACATATTTTCTAATATATTTAAATAAGGATATTGAACAAATAAAGAAACTTTAATAATCAATTTATTAAGAAAATATTAAAATAGTGTTAGCTTTGAAGATACATTTTAGTAAATATCGATTCAATATAAACACTTGATTAAGCGAATAATAATTGTAGCCGTAATTCATATACAAATAAGTTATTTTTTAGACATTTTTCATTTGGGGAAAAATTTATAAAGAAATTGAATATTTTCACACTTTTGTCTGAGTTTTCTGTAATGATACAGAATGATTACAGCCAAATGTGGAAGAAATCACAGCAATGTATGAATACCCGCTACATTCCCAAAATATGCATCTTTTGAATCCATTCAATCTATTATAGTTTCCGAGAAAATTACTAAATTGTAAAAAAAAAACTATTTTTTTCAACTTTAAACGCGAATTAGCCAAATGAATGAAACCACACTAATGGATTCATTCAATCTATTATAGTTTCTGATTTTTTTTTTAATTTACAAGTATTTATCAAGACGTAGCTTAAATTATGATTGTTATTTCATTTTATAAATAAGTTTTAAAACTTTAATAAGATCGAAATGAACCAATCAAAAATTTGTAAATAAATAAATAAAATATTATTAACTTTTGTTTTATATCATAATGTGTAATTATTATTAAAACAATTAAGTTAATCACTTTTTCGGTAATTATTCCAAGCACAATTAAAAACTTCTAAACTAATAAAAAATATTCATATTACAATTTATGTACCTTCATGAAAACCATTAATAAGTACTAAACAAATTGACTAATTAAAATATTCGTTAATTAATCAAAACACTTTTAAAAACATCATGATGTCAACACAATTATTACATACTGTTTTGATACATTTATCGTGTGTTAAGTGGAGCGATTATAGAAATTGTTAATCTTCGCTATGATTATATTATAAGCAAGAAGATCAACAGGTAAAGAACGACGTTGAAATTGTGTTGTTATTAAGTTTATTTATTTTCCCCGTATTGATCAGAAACATAAACTATTCAATTATTACACAATGCATGGTTCGGACGCAAGGTCACTTAGATTTTATGGATATAAAGCGTACTCGAGCTCTGGAAATCATCAGAACTTCATTGCTAATCCAATATGAATAAGCTAGTACTCGTCTGTTTCGTGGTCGTCGCCGTAGCAGCTATGCTGCAGGAGTCCGAGGCTTACGCCGTGGAGGTAACAATTCATCATTCATTCAATCATTATGTAAATTTCTTTTAATATTGTTTTTTTTTAGTCTAAATTACAGAAAGAACCGAACGTTGAGACAACCGTTGATGGCAAGATTGTGAAAAGGAGCGCCCAGGACACGGCCAAAATTGCTGCAGATATTGCCAAGGAGACAGCAAGAGCTGTCGCTCAGAAGGCCAAGGAGACAGCGACACAAGCTGCTACGGAAGCAGAGAACGTCGCGAAACAAGCAGCAAATAGTGCCAGAGACACAGCAAGGAGGACGAAGAAGTGCATTCCAGATACATTCAATGATTAATCAGTTTACCTATTCCTATTAGCTTTAGACGTACCGAAAACGCAAATACAATGTTGAATAAAAGGGTTGAGCTTCTTTCGCTTAAAGCATAATTACAGTTAAATCAATGAACTTATTACTAACGTGGAAAAACAATTCTAACATTTACATCTTATTTGTTGACGTGGATATTTATTAATATTTTGTTATTGTTATCTTCAAAATGAACTTGAAGGAGGGGAGAGTTTATTGGAAATCCTACTTCAACGCCGTCAGTAAAACTTTCTAATTAACTTTACTTAGTCCATGTATATTATTAAATATTTATCTTATATTGTATTTAACGAAAAAATAAATTAATTTATAAATTACCACTCTGTGTTTTAATTTGTCAAATATTTCAGATTTAATTGTAAATTTCTATCAGATTTTTTTACATTTTAGTAAATATCGTTTCACTTGAGTAATCGTACATTAATGTTACAATTGTAGCCATAATTCATATATAAATAAGTTAATTCTTAGAGATTTATTTGAAATATATTAAAAAAAAATATGGAATAATATATTAAATAAAAATATCCAACTTTCATATGCATCTTTTGCATCAATTACTGAAAAAAATCAAAGCGTAACTGAAATTATTAATTCATTTTATAAGTTAGTTGCAAAACTTTAATATGATCGAAATGGGCCAATAAAAAATGTGTAAAAAGCTTTTGTTTTATATTATAATGTATAATTATTATTAAACAAATTAAGTTAATGACTTTTTCGATAATTATTCAAATCATACTTAAAAACTTAAGAAAAATTGTAAGTAATTAAATAAAAAAATATTTATATTACAATTTATATACCCTGATGAAAACCATTAATAAATTAATAATTACTAAACTAACTAATTAAAACTTTCGTTAATTAATTAAAACGCTTTTAAAAATATCATGATGTCATCACAATTATTACACACTGTTTTGATTCGTTTGCGTTCTAAGCGTCAAAAGCGTTTGCGTCGTTAATTTTTTAAAAGCTACCGTAAAATAATTAACGAGTCCTCACTCCATTTATCGCGTGTTAAGTGGAGCGATTACAGTAATTGTTAATCTTCGCTATGATTATATTATAAGCACGAAGTTCGCTGTAAACTAGACTAGACTAGAGTAGACGAGAGAGACTTTGCATGCAGCAGTAGCAGCGCTGGTGTGTTGTTTGTTCAGCGAGACAACCGTATCTCAAACTTTTGCTGGAAATCGCAGCGAAGGTAATCATTTTAACGTTGCTTTCGTAAATTATGCAACGACCAGTCTCCTCCACCAGATTCCAGTAAAATGTCGCTGGAAAATTTGCTTATATACAAATATTTTCAGTAAATTTTAATTTTTACATTTTAAAAAATTTAGTATTTTACCAAATTTATTATGAATTCTTGTAAAAATCAATTGTTAATTTAACTTTAAATCTAATGATTTTATATTTACAATTTATATTTCTGAGATTATAAATTAGTAAATTAAAATTTAAAAATAATTTTTTTTTTACAATAAACATTCCGGACATACAATGAAATGTATGTAATCAATGATTTGTAACGTTTTTATTTAGAATTTAGTTGATTTCCACGTATTGTCTAGAGAAATTACAGTTATTTTGAAGAAATTATGTTTGATCCAAACATCTCTTGGGAATCTGGAGGGTCAACAGTGCAATTCCTTAATAAAACTTCCATCTCTCATTCGTACGTTGACGAAATCTACGTCAATTTTGATAAAAACAAAGAAAATGAAAGAAACAAGCTGCAATAACCACAGCAAATAGTATGTAATCATTTGGCGCCTTCCCTTTTATAAAAGGAACGCGCATTACAGCAATATGGATAATAGCACAGGAATGTATCTATACTTGCTGGATTCCTCAAACATTCAGCTTTCATATGCATATATTGGATTCATTCTATCTATTAAAGTTTTCGAGTAAATCAATGAAATGTAGAAACACTGCTTT